TTCTTGGTATAATTAGGATATAATCGAGCCTGTCTCTTGAAAACGATTCTCCACACTAATTTACCTTTCATATAGCTGTAAGCTCATTTTTAATTATGGTGTGTATATATATATATATTGCTTATCTACTTTATTTTTTAGAGATTATAGATAAAATTATTCTAAAATTATATCGTTTCAATAAATTTCTGTTAAAAAAAATTAAATACCTTATTTTTAAAGTATAAATAAGAGTATTTTTTTATCATTTTTCATGATGCTTCAACAAGGGTACTAGATCGCAAGTATTTCCATCCAATAACAAAATGACACCTCATCATCCAACTTAAGACAGCTCATCAATGGCCACAATTTAACTTAGTAGAGATATTCTATTTTATCCTCTCACTACTAAAATCATTAGTTTCAGCAACATGCTTCCATGTTGCTGAAAGTGGTTCTCATGTTGCTGAAAGTCCTTCAGCAACATGGGTTTGCTTGCTAAAAGCTTTGTTGGAGAAGGCTTGGTGGGTAATACATCACCAACCAAAATCTTGTTGCTAATGTATCAGCAACATAAGCTATGTTGCTGAAAATATAGTATCAGCAACATAGCTTATGTTGCTGAAAATATTAACGGAATCCGGTGGCCGAAGAGGGGTGAAATTTCTCACCCCCTTCAACAACATAGACCATGTTGCTGAAAAAAAAGTATTAGCAACATAACTTATGTTGCTGATAACCTTCACCGGAATCCGGTGACCGGGTGGGGTAAAATTTCTCAGCCCCTTCAGCAACATAGGCCACGTTGCTAAAGATGGAGTTTCAACAACGTGGCTCTTGTTGCTAAAAACTGGGACAACTTGCCGGCCTGCCCTCCACCGGACTTCTATCAACTTTTTCATCAAATTTTCAGCAAGGAAGGCCATGTTGCTGAAACCCTATTTTCAGCAACATATTCCTTGTTGCTGATTGCATACTTTCACCAACATATTTCACATTGGTAAAAAAGATGGATGACTTCCCCCCCCCCCACACTTCTGGTCCATTTTCAGCAAGCAAAGTCACGTTGCTGAAAATAAGGTTTCAGCAACGTGGCTTATCTTGGTAAAAGTGAAGGGGAGAGAGTGGTTTGCACTTTTCAGCAACATATTCTTTGTTGCTGATTGTGTACTTTCACCAACATACTCCACCTTGGTAAAAAATTATTGAATTCCTCCCCCTTCCCGCTCCATTTTCCCGCTCCATTTTCTATAAGGAAAGGTATGTTGCTGAAACCATATTTTCAGCAACATGCCTCTTGTTGCTGATGTCTATGATAATAAATATAATACATTAATGTATTTATTTGTATTAAATTTAATAAATTTATACTATTTATAAATAAAATTTATTTTTTTTCATCAAATATATATTAATTATCTTAAAA